ACTGCCATTACAATGCACAATGTCTTGTTATACTCTATGAAAGGGTTCAAAACTGTGTATGTACCCTATTAGTTTTACAGTATTTATCAATGCAGTCTTGGTGCTCTCAACCCAGCTGTAGCTACAGGTCCCTATGGCTGCGACTTGTGGTTGGGTTGCAGAGAACACAATTACTGTACTAAACCCTGGACAAGAAAAGAGTAAGATTCAAGTTCAATGGATGATTTTCAATAAATGTTGCAGTCCTATTGGTCAGCCTCTGGTAGCCTAGCAGGTTCACTTATCGGTGGTGTATAGCATAGTACTTGTGGCCGTTTTTGGTAATGTAGCACTCTTGTGTGATAATCTAGCACATTCTAGTAATACAAAAGCTCACCCCTGTAACACTATAGATTTAATTTGTGCAGCATGCAGCACTCTCTGGTAACAAGATATACTGGGTTCAGCTTTGGAAAATTGTTTTTGTTTTGTATTGTTTTGTTTAACATTTAAAGAGTTCTTTACATTATCTGGCTTCAGTCACTTCCATTGTGCCTCATGTATACTGAGGCTGTAAAGCTAACCTCAAGGCTAGCAAATAGCTTTGTATTGACATGGTGTGTGGGCCTAGTGTGCCACTTGAAGATAATGTGTAATATAAAGAAACAAAGAAAAAGTAAGAGTAAGCTAGTGGAACAGAAAAAGCGAAAATATGAAAGAGCAAGAGAGAGGGCTGTCAAGTGAAAGGAAGTGAAGCAGCAGAAAGAGAAGGAACACTGGACAACAGTAAACCACTGTACAATACAATTCTCATTCTAATACCACTATCCCCACATCTAACGGAGAACTGATTCGCGTTGAAGTAGCAATGCGTTTGTTAATGTTAAATCACAGTTCTATTCCAGATACAGCATGTTTAGTGAACCGAAGTTCTACATAATAAGGGGAAGAAAACCTCTGGACTGCAGTTGTGACACTTAACTCAATTGTTTATGGCTGTCCTTTGCCAGTAGAAGGAATAAAGCAGAATTTATCATATGTATTGCTTTATAAAGAGTCTAGGGTCGTCAACTTTAGTGAAGGGGAAGTGGTTGGAACAGTCTTGGTAAGAAGAGATTTTCAGCCTAAAGGACTGTTTTGGAAAGACAGAGTTCCAGCTGAGGCCTTCATCAGTGAGGAACATTAATCCAACAGTCTGACTTTCATTCAGTTTAAACATTTCCAGCCAATGGTCTTTTTGTCCTGTAATGTGGTGGCATGCTGGATAATTTGGAGAGTGCATGAGCCTGAAGCTGCTCTTCAGAAAGCAGTCTGCAAATATATGAGCTAAATAGTTTAAACATCTTGTGCTGTGAAGATCTTCAATTTTGGGTTTTCAAAGATAGAACAGAGGTTAACATGTTGCTTAAACCACCAGTGTGGTGCACATGTTACCACCTTGTTACGTCCCCTGTTAACTATCCGAGATCACAAATCTCCAAATTTCTAAGTAAGCTGACTAGTATCATAAACCTATCTGTATTATGCATGATGTAATAGTTATTCCAGTCGGGAACAGATATCTGCAGGGATGATCTGTGGAAATGTAAGTAATCGTGGAAACCCTGAGGGCACCGAAAGCATTTGCAAATACCGGAAAATGTCTGTTTTATGCCAGAAATCCAGTGTGCACCCAACATCCTTTTAGTGAGCTAATATTGCTGTCTTTGGTGCACTGAAATCCCTACCAAAGTTGTCTACCCTGCCTGGGTTTTCTCCTACTGGACTACAGAACACCTCCCACTTGTGTAATGGAGATGAGGCGAGGAAAATTTTTATTTTTCTGTATTGACAGCTCTGCAATTTTTACATGCATATAGTGCTGGGGCCAGCCACAATGTACTCCTGCAGCTTGGCAGGTGGCACCCTGCAGTAAGCTTTAGCTCCATCACACAGATACTTTCTTGCTAGCTGAAAAATCTGGGTGATTGTGACCCTTTCCTATGGCCAGAAAGCCTTAAAGTGACACTAAACTCAGGATTTAAATCCTAAAAAAGCATTCAAGAAGCTTGCCTATTAACAAAAATGTATCTTATTTGTGTATCACTCAGCTGTAGATCCTCAAATCATCTCTAAATTGGTGCTGACACAGTCCTTCCTTCTGGAGGGTGGCTACTTTTGTTCCCCATGGGCCCTGTGTGTGTTGTAAAGTAGCCACCACTCCAAGCTCACTCCCGTTATGGACTACAATGTCATGTTTAGTTTAGTTTTAGTTGTACTCAAATTGAAGTCCATCATAAGAGCAAGCTTGGAGTGGTGGCTACTTTTCAAAACGCACAGGGACCATGGAGAAAAAAAGTAGCCCCCCTCCAGAAGGAAGGACAGTGTCAGCATGAATTCAGAGATGATTGGATGATCTACAGCTGAGTGACACACAAATAAGATACATTTTTGTTAATAATTAGGGACTTTGAATATTTTTTCAAGATTTAACTCGTGAGTATAGTGTCACTTTAAAGCGGAATTAAACAGCTATGTCCTTGCACTGCGGGCAGAACTGGACCATTTTTTACCCATCTTGACTCCCTGTCATGGCAGAGAGCCGTGACAGGATCGAGAGGTGAGCGAACGGCGGTATATGTTCGCTCACCTCCCGATACTTCTGTACTTCTGTCTTACAGCCATTGATAATCTGAATGAAGCTCTGCACTAGATCCATTCCATTAACAAAGTATTAGGCCAGAGAGGAAGCCGCAGCCGAACAGAGGATAGTATGCAGCTGTTCACGGTTACAAAATAACAATCAGCAGGTTTCTGAAACAGATTGGATGTGACAGCAGTGAGACACTCGGAGCAGCATGTGTTATGTAAAAATATTCCTAATAACTCAGACAAGCAGACATATTATAGACGCTCATTGCTCCATACATGTGACTGCGTAACAATTTGGTGCTTCGCAGTTTAGCATATTTAGAGAGATGGATTAAGCCAACTGTGAAAGAGAAATGAAATGTTTACGTACATTCAATTGTAACCACTGAGCATTCATATTAAAGGTGTTCAGGAAAGCGATCATTTCTTATTTGTAGAAACTCAGATTGTGCCATAAGCTAAGATGCCAACGTCCGACTGAAGTTTATTTACTGGTAATGCAATATAATGCTAGAAGGCATCCTTACGGCCTCCTGCATACGCGCAGAAAAAAAAAATCTGTTGGAGGCTTCTTTCTTTTTTTTTTATGTCTCTGATCACAGCTCTATTTCAGCCAATGCGTCCATGCACTTTATGGCATTTAGATTTCTTTTTTTTTTTTTTTTTTTTTTTATTTATAGCTCTTTTTTTTTTTTTTTTTTTTTAGAGCAATGTTCAGGGGCATTAAAATAAAATGCCTCTAACCTGCGTTCGGAAAGGAGCTTACAGGAATCATTTACGTGCATACACATGTAAACGTTCATGTATAAATTAATTTTCTAGCCAATAGAATTGGTTTCTGTGCATATGACTCTAAATGCCGTAAGTGCGTGAATGTGTGTAATTACCAAAACACGCTTTTTTTTATACTCTGGATTTTTTTGCTTGCTTCTGGCAGAAAGATCCAGCATAGATGGGAGTATTTTAATATGCCTGGGTGTATGAGGCCTTAAGGCTACAGGCACATGGTCATAAGAAATGGAATGCGTGTGTTTTTTGTGGCAACAAATCTGGCGAAAATAATCAGTAAAAGTGTTTGCATTTTAGATACGCAAACACATATGTGTAAAATTCTCATTCCATTGCTCTTGCTTTCTTTTCTATGTCATTTACTTGGTTGGACTTGGACATGTAAAATGTATGTACTCAGGCACAGATTTTTCAATTTTGTGTGGATGTGCCCATTGAAAGCAACACATCTGCATCCTGATCCATAAACAAAAAACACTGTGCTGTGTGTTTTATTTACGTCCCTGTGCATGTGACCTAAATTTCTTGGACTGCAAATACTTGTGTTTCCCGTGCTTCTCATGCAGTCTTCTTTACTCAGAATAGCAGGTCTATTTCTTGAGGATATCATTGTCTGCAGGAGTCTCAGCTCCACCTCTTGTAACCTAATTGACTGGTTTCTGACCACTGACATGGCTAGCTGTTAAAATACCCCTCCAGCATTGGTAGTCGGTGGCTGGCTGAAACTATAACCCCCCCAGCATTAGTGGTCCATGCCTGGCTGGGACAAAAATACACCCTCCCCCCATAATGCTTTCCACCTGCATTTGTGGTCAGCGGCTATCTGACCACTAATGCTGGGGAGGGATTCATAGTATCAGTGGCTTGATGTAATTATAACACCCCCACCAACATTGGTGGTCAGTGGCTGACTGTAACAATACTGCCCCAGCATTGTCTGACTGTAACAATAATCCCCCTCCCCAAAGCATTGGTGGTCAGTGGCTGCCGGGGATAATAAATGCCCTCAGAACTGGTGGTCAGTGGTTAGTTGTAACAACAACCCGCCCTTCCTTATTGTCTTGCGTAACAATAACCCCCAGCATTAGTGGTCTGTGTCTGGCTTAAAGGTGTCCCCTATATTACCTAGTGGTCTAAGAAGCACGCTGGAAAAAAATATCCACCACTTACCCGTGCAGTATCTCCCTTCGCATAATGACAGTAGTACATCTCAATGTAGCCCTTATTATGGTAACAGTGCCAGGCACACAGATTCAGAAAGTCTCTTCTGGGTATGAGAGGAGACTGCAGCAGTTCTGATTGAGCTGTGAGGTGTCGAATAGAACGCCTCGGAGCATAGAGCTGCCTGTGCCCACCTTACTCCACTACCACTCTACACTGGATACCACCACTTAGTGTGTCCTGGTGTCTTATGCAGACTGCCTTCCCAATATGTGCAGAGAGTGCACAGTGGGTCCCATCCATCTTGGGGCACTTGTGCACTGCCCACAGTGCACACATTATGGATACTCCCCTGATTAGGTGTCCTAATGTTGTTGAAATATAACCGTTTTGTTTTATATATACTGGTTTATATTAAATAATCTGCTTTCTCTCTCCAGCAAACTGCCGACCTGGGTACGAGGATTTGTGCCAAAGATTTTCTACATCACAGAAAAGGCCTGGAACTATTATCCTTACACAATCACAGGTAAACCAAACAAAGATGCCAATGCATTACATATAAATAAAACTAGGTTAATATCGGCAATTCATACTTTAGATCAGCATTTCACAACCACGGTGCTGTGGCCTTCAAATTTTTGCTAAACGTGATCTGGAAAAGGGATGTCTGGTGTGAGGGGGAAATTCCATGGTTTGTGTTTTGTTTTTGGCCTGGGGTACCCCCTTTAAATCCATGGCTTGGGTCCCGTCTAGGATAAGGGTTTGGCATTGATTTTGGGGGGTGAGGGGGACCACACATCCCCTTCTTCTTTTTTTTTTTTCCATTTTTAGATGGAGGTGCCTCAAGATTTTGCATAATTTTAAAACTTTAAAATTAATACATTGGCTTTACATATACTTTAAAGTAACTTTATCCATATGTTTGAAATGACAACAAATACACCTTTAGAAATGTTTAGTAATGACAACATACAAACAGATACTTCTAGATAATCGTAGGCTTTGTATTCTTTGCATACCTTATTTTTCTTTTCCTCTCTATGCTTCTCTCAGTGGTCATTTTCACTAGAAGTAGATAGGTTTACTAGAAAGGCACTGGTGATGTAGCTTTCGCAGGATGCAGGGCTACATGACCCGTTCCTCACTCAACCAGGGAGTGTAAGTCATTTCAAGTGAAAGCAAAATATGTTTGTTTAACTAATGAATGTAAGATGATTTCCTATCCGCATGCAGAGCAACATGCTCTGTAATATATATCCCTTGACTTCCTGTAACTCTGGCACATGTGACTAGGACATGTGACCATGCACATGATCTCAGGGGAGGAAAATGCCTTTCCCTAAGATCTCGTCAGATTACAGATGAAATTTCCCAGCAATGCACTGCTGATCTAACCTTCCCAGGATGCAATGGCTGGGCACATGCTGCATCACTAATGCCCAGGAGGACCAGGAAGTGGAAAAACAATAATTGTAAGTAAAATAAAAATATGTTTAATAAATGCAAGATTATTTCCCATCCGCAAGCAGAGCCACATGCTGAGGTGATTTGTAGTAAAAGGGGGAAAAGGTCCACTTTATGTAACTGAAAGCAAATGCCTTTAAAAAACATTGTGAACAAATGATCTGCGTACTGTTTAATTGCTAATGATAAGTTTTGATATTCATTATTTATTTTAATGTGTTTTGAGCTCATTGTCCGCTTTCTGTAATTTGCATGTTATCAGAACGAACAAGGGCAACATGTGGTAACATTAGATTTGATGATGGAGTTGGTAAGGGCGAGTACAGTACAAAGCGAGTGAAAGGGTTAGTAATGAATAATGTATACTATATATAATACTCTGTGAGAGTACACAGCTTAACAATAGGCTTGATTTTAAATTCTAGCTGGTAAAAAATTATCAAGGAGTCAAAATGTTTTATTTTGTTCTCTTCATTCGCTAGGTATCCTTACAGTGTTAAAAGGGAAATCAATGAACTTGTTATTGATTGGCAGTAATTTTGTAAAGGAGCACATAAGTGGTGTAACCCATTTTATGACTTAAAGGGACACTCATTAGAAAGTACTGTATAAACTGGTTTATGTTAAAGTTTATTATAACATTCATAGATAAATGTATGTTCTAGGAAATGGGAGATCTTTATAGTATAAAGATGTAGTCAGGAGCAGTATTTTTATACACACATCTGATTTTCCATAGAAAACTCATTTTGTTGCTGTCTTTTGCCTGCAATGGCAGCTGAGACCAATAGGTTGCCCAGAAAAGTTACATGGATGTCTATAGACTAAATGTGTTTTGGATACAGTAGTGATGGATTAAAGCTTCTGTCAGGTTTTTATTACGGTCTGTCTCAACTGGAGAGATTTCCTGACAGAAGGTGATGGAAAATGTCTCCAACAGGATCATAGACAAAATAAGGATCAGATATATTCCAGGTACTCTAGGCTTTTTGTCTTTATCTGCATAAGCCTCCAACCTTCATGCAAATGTTATAGTTCCTCCACCACCTGCTCTCCTATAGACATTTTCTTGGCATCACTCACACAGCAGACCTTTACCAAGGTCTTCCATGCATTGGTCTTCCAGAGCTTCATCAACCAGGGGTGAATTCAGTTCGAATTTCTCTACAGACCAAGCCAGCTGGGTCTTTAATTTTCTTGCTGCCTTGTGTCTGAATATCGGCACTGGAAAAAGGGCAACTGTGATCTGTCCACATTCCAAGCATACTTCAGGAAAGGCTCTGATAAACCTTGCTGAGTTTCTTCAGCTGCCTCAAAAATCCTGCATTTGGATTAATGCTCTCCTTAGGTGGGACAATATGTACTGTATCTGAACTCGAACATTAGAGGTCTGTAGGTCGTCTTTTTGTCAAGGCCTGTCAGAATGCTGGGAAATAGGATCTAGAATTTCTGAATACCAAGTTGAATAGCTGCTTCTAAATAAGAGTTCATGAACATTAAATAGGACATATGTCACACCTGACCCATAGTTTTCAGAAATCGTAAATCTAAGAAACTCCAAAGTTTAGAGTAACAGGGAAATGATCCCCAAGCCTGCTACTCCCTCACCTCCCAGGTGAGGTCATCTTTGAGTCGTATATCATTTATTGAACATACATTTTTGTCTGACACAGTCCTTTTATTCTGGCACTGCTATAAAGTTTATGCAACTCATTTTGGTGGAGCATACCAACAATGTGGACATGCCAAATACCTGTGCTGCCATTGAAAAAACACACAATGGGAGTGCCATTCCAAGGACAGTCCATTTTACTTCTGAACTTCTTGCCATTCATACCACGCCCTCAAGGTATCTATATAATCATTCCAAAGTCAATACATTCTGGTCTGCTGCGACTACCCTAGCTCATACTGTACTTGCCACATATCAAAAGGCTCTTTAGAGACTTTCTGGTTTAAGGGGACAATTATTAAATCAATATCAGAGCTCTGTCAAATGAGCAATTGCTGCCACAGCCCAAAGCAGCACATCATCTATTAATTCAGTGTCTGAAACACAAGAACCTGGTGGTGGAAGTGCTCAAGGCCCTGGCCACTATTCACTTTGTAGCTATCATTAGGTCTTTGTTGTAGCAATGCATTTCTTGGTACCTTGGGATCTCCTGCTCCATAGCTTATGGAATTACTTAAGATTTTGCTTGTCAACTCAACAGATCTTCCTTTCTGTGAGCTATCAGTTAAGCCAGAAGATGTCATGCAGTTTCAGAGAGCAATACTCTGCATATATTAAGAAAAAGCAATACTAAGCCTGTGCTACACTTGCAACCAACATCTGGGCTTGCTATGTTGGGAAAGTTCAGACACCTGAAGTAAAAACTGAAGTAAAATACTTTTGGTTCCCAGACACCTGCTTGCATACATTAATAAATCCTACCAATATTTTTCCATGATCTGGGGAGTGAAGATTTGGAAGGGGACTTGAGTATACCTTAATGAACCAGCAGCTCACACTATCCTTTTCTCTTCATATAACTGATATGCTGCCCATATACACTGAGTGGCCAGATCATTATGACCACCCCATCAGTACTTCGATGGGCCATGAGATGACTCCACGAGGTGACTTAGTTGGCCCGCCTCGTGAATCCACGAGATGTTGAAAGGCGATGCGAGGAATCTGACACTGCACTGTTGCCCTTCTGTTGTCTTGTACCAGTCTTGCCACTCTCCATTCTGCCCTAACATTGACTAGTCGCTGACGGCCACAATTCGCACATTCAGACCCAGCATCATTCAGACAATCAGCATCTCTCTCCAGTTTGCTCAGGTAAGACTTGAAAATGAGACGGAGAAGCTGATTGGTTGCAGTGCAAATCTGCTCCAGATTTTGTCTGCTCCAGTTTTGATAAATTCCCCCCATAAACTTTATACAGCTGGTATCCCTAGTGGGGGTTGAAACTTGGACCTCAGCGTTGCAAGGTGGGAATGGTAACTTGGCTGTCGTAATCAAAAAAAATAATAGTTTAGAAAAATATATAAAATAACAAGAAGTATATCTATCTGTTTAATTTGTATTTGGTCAAATAAAAGTTCTATTTTTTCTTCTTTTTATAGAGTATGTGGAGTGCGCGTTCCTCATTTGTTGTCACCAACATGAGTCACCTACCACTGAGACTCAATATGGTGACTCTTTAATAATAAGGTGTCTCCAGTGATTGCTTGCCTAAAAGCTTAGATCAACCAGGTGCACTGCACTCAGAAAGCGAGGGAGGTTGACTGAAGCTTGTCATTGAACTGGCATGGAGTAAATAAAGAACAAATGTTTGCAAGACTGTCATTTGAATAAGAATCAATGTGGGGGAGAGAGAATTTTATTCACATGAGGCTCTCTGAAAGGATTTATTTATAGAGCGAACGCAGCATGTTCTGGTGTAGCATACAAGTATAATCTTCCATTTTCAAACTCGGAAAATGTAAAAAAAAAAAGCCTAGTATGACCTAACCAATATAAAATACATAAAAATTACTGAGATTGCCGAGTCCTATTTAGCATTAAATGGAATGCAAATCACATCAAAATGCTATTACAAACACTATTAGCTGGGCTCTAGAAATGCACTCACCGCTAAATTGTATTTAAAATCACTCCACAATTAAATAACCATGTCACAAGCGCTCATAGACTAAGACCAGGGTACTTTAAATTTCGGCACTTCAATAAAGCCGTCCTAAGCTTGCTGAAAATTATAATAATGCTTTGAAAAATGTACACATTGCTCTTGTTTTACAGACATGGTGGTATGAACTGATAAAAATATTTAGAGAAAGTGACCTTTAGATAACTGTCCTCTATTGACCCATGTGTAACAGTAGTGACTTAGAGGGTCAATAGGAATATTTCAATATTTAATTTGCCACTTGTCAGCATGTTTTATATTAGGCAGTTGAATTATTTTCCTTCTATGTTGTGAATAGCCCCCTCCCTTCAAACACCTACACACAGCTTTCATGTATCAAGTTCAAAGAGAGCCATATAGATTATTAAATACAGATGGTTAGAAACATTAAAAATGGTTCCCTTATTACTACTTATCTTTATAGTATTGTACAGCCAGAATGCACAGCTGTATATATCTAATCTAGAAAAATAATAGCAAGCAGTAAGCTTTTGTCTTGCTAACTTTATGCACAACCACTAACAATGCATAAAACAAGGAAAGGAAATTGGCAAGAGTAGCAAAGGTGACACAACTGTGTCCATACATGATCCCAAAGCATGCTATATAAGCACATAATTTCTTCACCCAGCTCGTAGGCTGTGGACTGTTTATATTGCTTCATAGGAAAACCCATTAATTCCCTCCAGGAACTTAACAGAACATGTTGTAGGATAACCTATTTATAGTTTTTCTCTGACATTAAAAATTTTCTAAATCGGTCATACTGCAAGTAACATGCACAACATAACTCCATGTTTATAAAAATAGTATTAAAACTTTGCATTTGCTGTAGATAAACTTAGCTATGGTATGCAACAAATCATAGAGACTGGCCCATTTGATATGCTGAGTAAAGCACAGATATAGTTATAAAATGGGAACTCCCTGGCCAACATTGAACTTCTATGAACTATTTTTCCGCCTTGGTATGGATACAGGAGTGCCATAGTAAAACTATGAGCCAGTGGTGAAAGGGAGTAGACCTAGGGGGTAGGAAGAGTGCTGGACTTTGTGTCAGTCCAACACTACCTGCAGCAATCTAGTGTATTCAAAGTCTGGGTCAGAGTATTCTATATGGAAGGCCAGGGCCTGCATTTGATCCTGTAGGCACCCGTAGCTAGGATAATCTCTTTTGCACAAATCATTTTCCTTGGTTTACAGGTCCAGGCTCCAGTGCTTTCCTCTTCTCTCTGGCTCTGTGATCTGCGGGTGCTCCCTCAACGTCATCTCGTACAATGCGGTGCTATGCACCCTGCATTTAACAGGGTGGCAAGTGGGAGACTGTGCTGGAAGCATCTAAGAGAGGAGGTGGTCTCACAGACCGCCGGAGAGTGGAGTAAGGTAAATATTACTCCTTATCTCTGCACCCCTAGAGTTAACAATCAGTTAACACTTCAGTGTAGGGGGCCCCACTGGAAGGATTTTTTTTTCCTTTTTTTTTTTTTTTTTAAAGGGTGCACATAACTATCTACATTAGTCCCTTTCACAGAGGAGATTACAATTCATATCTTTATTTGTTAACTGTTATTGTTTCTGTTGTCATGCAAAGATGTGTGGTTTTGCCCAGAAGCAGTTGTGTTTTTTATAAAAAACCCATTCAAACACAGGAACATACAACTCTGTACACAAGGCATGACATAGCGCAAATGTTATGCCAGAATACTAACCAGGTAGCCCCCATGCTACTACTTTGTCATTATGACCTTGGGTTTTGCCACCTTTATCTTTCTGTTATTGGCCCGGCTCTATTGGTTGGCCTTTGTTCTCATTTTCATAAATTAGCCCCAAAGTGGTTGCCACAGCTCTATGCCCAAACAAATGGGAAAATAATTTTGGGTTCCCCCTCCCAAATATCACCTGTATCATTCACATTTTGAACCTGAAAAGGTGTTTGCTTGTTTAAACAGCTGTTTTGTTTGCATCTTTTGATTTAACCCACAACTGAAAATGTCCAATGGCTATGTCAAACCTCAGCAAAAGATTGCAGTTCACAATCATTGCTTCACAGGGAAGTCAAGATCGGGGGTGGTTTTCCACGAACCTATGTAATTTACATAAAAATGGAATTTAAAGAGAATGAACACGCATAAGGTGGTAGTTTTGACTTGAACAATAAACTGTTAGCATAATATGTCACTGACATTGTACCAAGAATTTCAAGTGCATTTTTCTAACGAGTTTCTTGTATTTTCTTGTTTTCTATTTCCTGCCGGCTGACGCACAGAATACACAGTAAGTCTTGTGATCTCATGTACTATCTTTGTTGTGTTCTGTCTTGAACTTTTGATCACTATGAGTTTATACAGCAACATTTACACAGTGTTGATTCTCCAGTTACTGTACCTTTAGAAAAGGAATGTTTTTCAAAAAGGTTTGAGCATTAAATCTGAAATGTAAATTGCCTTGTTTAAAGGGGATTTCTTGCAGTTTTAAATACAATACAGTATATAGCAGGGGTAGCCAAACTCCGGCCCTCCAGCTGTGGTGAAACTACAAATCCCATGATGCATCTCTCTCCGGGAGTCATGTCTGTGGATGTGAAAATCTTGCAATGCCTCGGGATTTGTAGTTCCACCACAGCTGGAGGGCCGGAGTTTGGCTACCTCTGGTATATAGTATAGGTGTTGTACAGGTATTGGCATAAGTTTAGAGAAAGTCCTGTGTGTGTATTGAAGGGTTTCAATCACAATGGATACATAATGAATGTACATTATGTAAGATGACCCAAATATATGACCTGGTATTCGCTAGTAATGGGACTTAAGTATGGTAAGCAATATTGTCCAGTTTTTAAGGTTTGGTTCATTTTACAGTCCCTTTAATTTAGAAAAAAAGTTGGTGATGCAGCAGTCGTAAAGAGGACAGGCAGACCTTTATGTCTTGTCAAGACTTATAGGTGTCCATTATTTTATTTTTTTTAAGTAAACTTTACATTTCTTTTAGACTAATGAGAGAAAAGTGACATACGGTGACCCTGTGCACCAGGTTATGGATACTCAAGCATTTCTACAGTCATAAGAAGCAGTAAATAAGCTTTAACCACTTAAAAACCAGGGTGTTAAACCCATTCCTGGCCAAGCCATTTTTCAGTTCTCAGCCTAGAGGTACTTTGAATGACATTTATTCTGTCATGCAACGCTGTGCTGAAATTTATTTTATACCTTTTTTTGGGACAGATGAAGCTTTCTTTTGGTAGTATTTAATCACCACTTCGGTTTTAATTTTTTACTATATTAAGGAAAAATTACCAACAATTTTGAAAAAAAACAACTATTTTCCCTATAATTAGGAAACAATTATTATTACCCATTATTTTGGTAAAATATAAAAGACGGGGTCACGTCGGGTAAATAGACACCAAACATGTCAAGCCTTAAAATTGTGCACGCCCACGAAGCCGCAAAAACTACAATACCAAAAATTGGACATAGGCGACTCTTAAAAAGCTTTTATCGCTCATCAGTTTGGTGTTATCAGTGATCAACAGCCCTAGAATTATTGCTTTCACTGCGACATTTGCGGTGATATGTAACATGTCCGTCGCAATTGTCATTTTTTTGTTTGTTTTTTACACTTAATGTTATTGCTGTCACTTTTTGGGCTAACAATCCCCCTATGTGAGAGCACAAGCACACTGACAGGTCCTCTTTACGGAGACCTGTCACCTAGGGACCCCCAAAGAAGCTGATGAAGCAGAGATCTGTTTCAGCAGCTTCTTCTCTGGCTATAGCAAAGTAAAATGTAATGCACATTGCTTCTGCATTCAGACATCGGAGAGGAGATCTTAAAGGAGGAAGATGCTGATCTCCCTTCCATCTTCCTCCTGACACCCGCCGAGCCGGGCCCGCAGAGGGGACAGTGGAGCCCGGGATGGAAGATAAGGGGGCTGGAGGGGGGCGCAGGGCAGCACATACCAGCGAGGGTGTTACTTAGGGCAGTCTGCATGCAAATGCAATCTGCCTAGGATCACCCACTCCTCCAGACTGATATCTACTCGTTAAGGCATTTTTATATTTGTCTTACACCTCACAAGAGCCAGCCCACTACTTGCATAAGGGTTCTTGAGATCAGTTCTGAGGCAGGGTGGTGTGATCTTTTCAGAAATTTATGTATAGCACACTGCTGGCCCCTTCTACCAGCCTTGATCTGCTTGCATTGCATAGAGAAGCACAAAGGCTCATTAATGATATCACTGGGTCTAAAATAAGGTATGCAATAAAAACTGAGGTTTTATTTAACATTTTCATTAGAATGTTGATGGGGGCAGAAGGAGGAAGAATAAGGGAAAGTAATATACAAAGCAGATTAAACTTCAGCTTTAGGCTGAATACTTAATTACAGATACTTGCTTAGCTAAACATTCTTTTCACATGGTCTGAGGCACATGTGCAGACTATCCCCGAGCGTTCTCACACTTTCACAGGTTTGACCATACATCAGTATGCCTAAATCTGTAAATTCCACATACTTGGTGACATAGCTAGATTTGTAGATTAAATTTACTAAAACAGAAAGAAGCATGAGACCTTTTCAGTGTCAGAACAGACAGAAGGGTAGACTTCTGTGTCCCTCCCATACACAGAATATTTATTTGCAGATTAAGTCCAAAATTACTTCCGAAAAATAAAACTTGAAATGATGGTTAACTAAGAAAAAATAAAATAATAAAAGTGAGCTTGTAAAGTTTATGAACAGCCTCTTTGAAGTGACTGGAGCCCCCTAGATATCCTGTGGTATTACTGGCTTTCTGAAAGTTGCTATTTGCCTAGGGATTGGCATAAACATGAAATCACTTGGGCCTGGCAATAGTTTGCTTATTCTCTGAACTGCATTGAGGAAAGAGGGAGGAGGTGTGCTTGCATTCTCCATATCTTGGAAGCTGGAAGATGAAAAAGACTGAATTTGTTAAACCTCCTTATGGCTCTGAGACCATTCTACAAAACTCTGTCAGATAATCTACCGGAAAGTCTCTGCTTGTAAAAACAAGGTCTTTGGAAACTTGAACATGCTTGATACTGACTGCTTGGTAACTCTTAGAATATTGCATGAAACTGTTTAAAAGCCCATGTGTGACCTGCCTAAAGCTATGTAACATCAGATGGTGGTCACCCATGCATTTTTGACCCAGCTGCAAGCAATCTTTCTAGAGACATTTAAGTTTGCATTTTGCAGCCACCAATTGTGCAAGTTCTCCCACTTAAAAAGATGAGAGAGGCCTGTAATTGGCATCATAGGTAGACCTCAACTATGAGAGATAAAATGAGAAAACAAATCCAGACAAATCACATTGGCTGATTTGGAACGAATTTATTTGCAAATTATGGTGGAAAATAAGTATTTGGTCAATATCAAAAGGTCATCTCAATACTTTGTTATATATCCTTTGTTGGCAATGACAGAGGTCAAACGTGTCCTGTACTTCTTCACAAGGTTGGCACACACTGTTGCTGGTATGTTGGCCCATTCCTCCATGCAGATCTCCTCTAGAGCAGTTTTAGTAAAAAGTTTTGAATCACTACATGAACAAGGACACCGCACCCCTAATGTAGGTAAACAGCAAAAAAAAGAGATAGATGGGGCTTTTAAGGTGTCAAAAAATGCAATTAGGGATAATACAACATAGTAATGACAAAATTACATAATAAAATGACATTTATTTATTAAAAGATTACAAGATCCACATGATAAAAATATACCCGCCAGTATCCATGATCAAACAGCATAAGACCTCCCTGGACTCTGTACATGTGCATGATGCATGCATAATAGATACAATGAACTTATTTTAAACAATTACATAATAATAAATAATTTTATACAAATAG